CGGTCCATAAGACTCTACTAGGCTTGCTCGTGATTAGTGAGACCCTTAGAACCTAGAGCTTTGATACCAACTTGTCATGATCTAAAATTCCACCAAAGGCCGTGATGGTGCCTAACCCGCTCGCTAGGCAAGACAACACTAAATCAGCATCATAATATCCAATTACTAAGCCATTAACTATTTTATAATATAAATAACAACGCGGAATAAATTTTAAATCAATAACATGAGTACATAATCAATGACAAGGTCTAAACACGACCACAACCGTCTAGCAACGACCCAAAACCCGATATCACTACATCACGAGTCTCTAATAAGAATAACTAATATCAATTGAACAAAGCATCTATCCGAAAAAGAATACATAGATAGAAATAGATAAGTAAGGAAGAGGGACTCCATGTGCTGCAAATCGGATAAAGTATAGCAGCTCAATTCGAAGTCTCCAATAAGGTACTTCTACTCAATTCAATGGTACCGCTAATACCAATCTCAGAACATGCACAAAAATATGCAGAAGCATAGTATAGGTACAAAACTACGGTACTCAGAAAGTATCAAGTCTAGCCTCGAAGAAGTAATGGCGAGGGAACAACATCAACACTTACTAACAGTCCAATAAACATGTAAAGCATAAATAATATATGGAAGTAATCAAGGTATCATCAAATGAGTAAAATCTTAGAGAAACACAGTTTGTATAGAATTTAGGCATATTTTACGGATAAGAAGAGAAATTAAGACACCAACACCTCAATCCTCATATCATGACCTTATTCGTGTCGACAATATTTATATCAAATCATTGCATCAATCAAAAATATACATATGCATGCTTAGAATCCATTTCTCAACAACTCACAGCACAAATCCATGTGTCTGATATATACCACGTGTCCAACAAGAACCATCAAGCTCGGGTGCCTACGCTCACAGAGTCCAAAGTAACATAGGTAATCACCTGACTCCGGAGGGACAGATCCATATCCAAGCATTGATCATTTTATATTTAATGATCATTAATCAATCATTGTGACATGCAGCCCATTCAATAATCGATAATCTCACAATCATTGGTGCCAAATTTCTCAACTTTTCACAATATATAAATCTCCAACTCATGCATATATAAATGAAATAATATCATTAAGAAGCACTAGACTTAACAATAAGAATGCGGATAAAAGCTCATATGGCTGAAAGATGGCTATGGCTAATCATGTAATTCGATTTATCGCAATGACTCAATAAGACATGAATAAGTTAAGCCATTAACCACCAATCACGAATCAAATAAGACAAATGTATGACTATGGCTCAAGGGGAAAGCTCAACATGGTAAAATAATTATTTATGCCCAATTTCACAAGTCATAACTTTAGGCACATAGATAATCACAAGTCATAGGATCAAAATAAACATAGATAATCAATTCACATAGTCCAAACAAGGAATAATCATAAGCCAAACTTTACCATACATGGTCATAACCTAACTACGCATATATGCTCGTCACCTTGCATATACATGGCTCCTAAATCCAGCAACATGTAGCAAATAGATCACCTATAGAGAGAATTTCCTCTTATAAGGATAGACAAGAGACTTACCTCTACCTGGCAAGCTTTAATCAACAACACTCTCATTTTCCTTTCAAATCCAACACCAAACGGCTCGAATCTAGTCAAATACAACTCAATAACGTTAAACAAAGCCATAAAAATAAATTTCAAATAATAAAGTTTCAATCTTTGATCAAATTTTAAAAAGTCAACAAAAGTTAACTCGGGCCTACATGGCCAAAATTTGAGTTAAGCGGTAGATCCCGATTACCCATAACCCTACGAGTCCAAATATATGATTATATTCTAAAATCGAGTTCAAATCAACCCTCAAATTCCTACAATACACCCTCTTAAGTTATAGACAAACCTTCCAAATTTCACTTTAATTCCAAATTTTAGGAATAGAAATCATGGGGAATTAATATACAAAACCAAATCCTAAGTTAAAATTTCTTACCTCCAATGTAGTAGTGAAATTGCTCTTCAAAATCTCCTCATCTCGAACTCTAGGGTTTAAAATATGAACAAAAAGGCAAAAATCCCGAAATATAACACTTAAAGTCTTCCCCAGGTAACCCTTCACGATCGTTGTCCAAGGCTTCGCAATCGTGAAGTACACAATGCAACTATCCAGAAATAAGCCTCGTGATCGTGCCTTTCCCATCGCAAACGCGAAGTTCTCCAACTCTGCCTTCATCACGAACGCGATAATCCAATTGCAAATGCGTACAACAACCCCCCAACTTGCCTCTTGCCTCTTGCTCTACGCGAACGCGGACCACTACACGCGAACGCCTAGACCAACTCTTCCATAACATCATAAAGACCATGAACGTGGTGACCAAAAATCAGCCGCTCCAAAATCCTACTCCGCAATCGCGCACAAAACATCGCGATCGCGATGAAAAAATATCCCCCAACTCAACAACTCTTCACCATCGCGTCTGCACCCCTGCGATCTCGATGTATACCTGAACACTAGAAAACCAACAACCTCAAAGTGGTTCAAAATGATCCGACCCCACGCCAAAACTCACCCGAGCCCTTTGGGACCCCGTCTAAACATGCAAACAAGTCCATATATATAAACCAAACTTATCTAAAGAGTCGAAGAACAACAAATAACAGCAAAACTAAGAATCGGCAATCAAAATCCTTCTGTTAAGTTTCAAAAATTCCAACTCCGCCCATCGCGTCCGGATCAAACTTAGACATTCTGGATTATAATCAAACTTCACACACATATTCCAATCAAATAAATGAACCTGTCCAAGATCTCGGAACATAGATCGTACCCCGATAATATCAAAATCAACTCCCAGTCAACTCTGTGAAGTATTCTCCAAACCTTCAAATTGCCAACTCTCGACAATTAGAGCCAAAACCTTCTAGGAATATCAAAATTCAAATCCAAACATTCGCTCAAGTCCAATATTACCATATGAACATACTAAAACCATCAAATCCTGATTCCAATGTCGTTTACTCAAAAGTCAAATTATGGTCAACTCCTCTAACTTAAGCTTCTAAATTGAGAATCACTCTTCCAAATCCATCTGAACCTCTCGAACATCAAAACCAACCATACACGCAAGTCATAATACATCATATGAAGCTACTCGAGGTCTCAAACCGTCGAACGAAATGCTAAAGCTCGATACGATTGATCGGGTTGTTACAATCGGACTCATATGTGTCGTTTGGGGCATCACTGTCAGAATCATCACCCCATTAGTCGATATGAGCATCAGCTTCAATACGAGCTAGTATATCAGAAATATTGGAATATGTACGATTTCAGTATTCACAAGTATATTGGTTGCATTGTTGGTACTATGACAATGATAATTTTCACTGGGAAACTGTGTGCCAAAACTAGTATAACCACGGCCATATCTACTAGGTGCTGGGTCAATTTGTGGTGTTGTACCTTATGATAACAAGTTTGTAAAACTATGAAATTCTGAATAACTACTCAGTGGATCAGTACATGGCACATAAGCTTCGATTGGAGGCTCATTAAGATTAAAGGATGGCACATTAGAAATCGGAGATAACTCATGAAAAATGTCTAAGGGCTCAGCAACTTTCAATAATTCAGTTTTAATAAACATCTCAAGCACATCAAGATTCAACATATACCTTACTGTATCAGGTGCTCTAAAAAATCCTACAATGACTCACTATCAACAATAGGATTTTTTATAAATCGAGCATTACCCTGGGTGGTATGATATGGTCACCTGCCTGAGATAAAAAAAATATTACTTCGCTAGGATTGGTTTTCATCTTAATATGCAAGTTCCTAACTAGCCACTCATACTCAATATCAACTGATCAACCGCAGTTTCACAATGGAATGAGCACCACAATGATATCTAACTGTTCAATTTCATAAATTATCTCACCACCCCAGTACAATGCAACCCTTACACGATGATCAGTAGACATTTTCAAACCTATAAAAAATAGCAGTTCTAATAAGAAAATAATACCAACATTTGACAATTAGATTACAAAATATAAAAATAATGCTAACTTTTTTTTAAGTTTTGTATATTCGAACATAAGATACACAAAATGAAATTGCATCGGTTTTATATAGAATCCAAATGCATGTATTCTAGCGAATATTTTCAATGAAAGGCGCATTCAATATGCAAATGTTCCCTTTTACATAACGCAATCTGACAATGTACCTTCCTTAAAGTTGTAGCATCAGGCATATGTCAAATCAATGTCAGCCGATTGAATATATAATTTGAACGAAAGGCATGTCAACTTTTTGAACCTTCAATGTAATTTTTAAAACTAACATAAGGTGTGATAAATCATTAAACCTTCTGTTGATTTAAAATATTAAATGAAGGTTCAAAGATACAACGCTCCTTTCTTTCAAATTATATTTAACTTTTCGTACAGAAGGCTCGCTTATCTTGTGCGCCTTCACTATTTATGTAAAAAAAAAAATATCTGACAACATATATTGTAGTTGAGGTCAATTCTTCCGGTCAACCCTTCGTATAGATATATCCCTTCTAAAAGTTGAGTGTCAATTTGTCCTTTCTCTCAATTTAGAAAAGTAATTTCTCTTAGAAATAGTCTAAAATAAAATTTACAGATATTTTGAAAGTACTACTACTATTAAACCGCTTCCTTGAATTTGTTTCCTTTTCTTCTTTGGTTCTATAGATATAGATGATGGTGGTATGTCCTACCCACGATTACTACACTGAATACTTGTTACCTCTCTTTTGCTACCTCTCTTTAACACAATTATTGATTAATTTTGCTACCTATCAAGGCTTAGGCGATAAAAAAGAAATTACCTTATATTTTTTTGCCTACAATACTTCTTTCTTTTATGAAAATAATGCAGCTTTGCATTAGTATAATGTAATGAAATCAAAACTTCTCTTGTACTTTTGGGGATCAACTGGAAATACTGTTAATTTCTAATTTCTTTCCCAACTAAGAATACAATACAATCAGAGGAGGAAAAAGGAAGGGGAAAAGGAAAAGAGATATTGTTCATGTAACTTGACCGGGGAAACTATGAGCTAATTTACAACAATCCCAACTCATTTCACCAGTAATTGACTGAGGACAAAAACAGATAACAAGGAATTGCAATTATATCCAGAATGCTTATAGCCTTCTGCTTAGGTTACAAATATACAAAATAGGAGCGCAACATCCCTAGTTACCAATCAGATCGGAAACTTGGCCTTTGCTGTCTTCTATGTTGCCCAAAGATGGTAAATTTTCCCGAATGTTCTTTCCAAGTTTCTTGGCTTCCTGGTCTAACTTCAGTGGTCGTCTCCTCAAGCTCTGAAAACATCCAACTTTGTCAAACGGTGTCTAATTAACATGTATGAGGAATATATTAAGATATTCATACCTCGGAAGCCCATAAGCAGTCACTTGCTTTACGAGGAATTATATGAATATGGGTCTGAACTTGTCATCCAAAAACAAAATTTGTATTAGCATTTTTGTAAGTTATTAGTAGGTAATCAAAGCATAAGAACTAAAGGAAAACTTTGGGGTCAAGCAAATATCTGAAAAATGCTGTCCGAAATTATTTGCACCTACGTGAAAAACAACCTGGCCTGCAGCTTCCCCATTGTTGACTAACAGGTTGAATGAATCTGCATGTTTAGCAACATTTGTGAGTAAACTTATGACAATAATTGAATAGCTTTCCATGAAATATGGATAATATCCACGAGAATAAAAGCGGAGGCCCCCAACTGATAGCACTGTGGTTTGGAATCGATTCTTTTACCAATGTAATGACTACAAAGACATGGTTTCCTAATACTAGCTCTATATTGTACTTGATGCATAAACTTTCTTTGTTAGGACGGAGACATTGGCGGAGCCAAGATTTGAACCTTATGGGTTTAGGATTGTAATCATTTATAGTTACTGGGTTCTAAATTATTAAGTTGTACATATTCAATGAATTTCTTAAGACAAATACATGGTTTGAACGAAACCTACTGGGTTCGACCGAACCCGCATCCCGCACTCTACCTCTGCCCCTGGACGGAGAGTTCAGGATAGTGCAGAATCTAACAAAATATCATTATAACAACAATAATAAAAGAATGCAAGATGATAATGATAGAAAACGCAAATAAAGGAGGCGCAAATTTACTTTCGGTCAATGTGGCCTACGTCCACAAGAGAAAAGGAGCAAATTTACTATATCAAAAAATACAAAAGTAGAGTAAGTACTCTAATTAATCACAAATACCCCGAGAGGAAACCTCACAAAAACACTCACAACTATTTCCCAAAACAACTCTTGCACAAAAGATATTGTTAAAGTGTTTCTTGCTCTCTGAATTGGTGTGTTGTGAAAGAGCAACACTTCTTTTTATAGGAGCAAAACATGGGTACCAAGCACAAATGAGAGAAAGAGAATTGCTCCAAAATTCCTGTCACAAAATTCATTTTTGGCATCCAAGAACGATTGCTAGCCAGGTCTTTGGGACAATAAGGCTTATATGATAGGATGGACCGCACTTTCTGTAAAGCCAAAAGATGGCCACATTACAAATCTTCACCTTGGCATATTTTTGGCTGATATAGTAAATTTGCTTCACCCTTTCTACAAAAGCCCTAATGGGTTAAGAAGGTGTTTGGATTGGCTTAAAATCTGATCAAACCAGCTTAAAAACACTTTTTGGCTTGTTTTGGCGTTTGACAAACTTAAAAAGTACTTTTGCGCCAAATGCTTTTAAGCCAAAACAATTCAAAATAAACCAAAAGCCATTAGTTGATCAGCTTCAATCTATGGCTTTTTAGGTTTGGCAAAATATTTTACTTTGTTATCCTTATACTTTCTTATTATTCCCAAATACCCTTCACTCTACTAAAATCCAGATGCCACTACTTTCATCTTCGCTTTCACCTTCTTCTGTATTCTTGCCTTACCAAACTATCTAATCTGATAAAAACCTAAATTACCAATACAAATTTGAGTTTGATCTACGGACTTGACATTTTAGCCTTGATCTGGAGACACATACATGTTGCTAATATTTATTGATTTTAAGGTTTATTTTTTATTTATAATTGTTTTCTAGCGCAAGGCTTTTTTTTCAAACTTAAGCCAAATTATCAACCATTATACATTTTATTAAATAAATTGTTTCTATTTATCAAAATGATCAATTTAAAACTCAATTAAAGTGAATTAAGACATCACTTAATTTGTATTTGAATGAATCTTGAATTAAAAATCTTGAAATAATCATCATATTTTAGTTTTACCAGATTTAAGGTCATTTTAACAAAAAAACTGCTAATCAACATTTTCTTGTCAAACACATCAACTGCTTATTTTCAGTTTCAACACTTTTATCAATACACGTAACTGCTTATTCAGTTAATCCAAACGGGCTCTAAATCATTTTTCATAAAGTCCAATCAAATTCAAGCAAATCTTGAAATTATTGGAAAAAGCTTCATAAACATGTCAGCAAGGTTGTCTTTGGTGTTGATAACAAAGTGGTATCAGAGTCGTATCTAATTGAATCAGCCCAATAGCCAAAATGGTAGATGTCCTATCACTAGGAAAGTGACACTACAACATATAGTAGCTTTATCTACTATCGAAGCATAATAAATGGCAATGATCGAGGCAATCAAAGAAGCTTTATGGTTAAAGGATCTATTTGTTAAACATAGTTAACCTTGGGGTGGTAATACTACTATTTTATGTGATAGTCCAAGTGTCATCCATTTGACTAAAGATCAGATGTATCATGAGAGGATAAAACATATTGATATGAAGTATCACTTCATTCGATAAGCCATTCTTGAAGGAAAGTCTTTGTTCAAAAGAATCAACACTAGAGACAACCTTGGTGACATGTTTACGAAGCATCTTCTAGTAACCAAGTTCAAGCTTTGCTTGAATCTGATTGATTTTCATGATAAATAATTTAGCCCATCAGGGCTTTTGCGAAGAGGGTGGAGCAAATTTATTATATCTGCCAAAATTAGACCAAGGTAGAAATTTGTATTATGGCCATTCTTTGGCTTTACAAAAAGCGGGATTCATCTCATTATGAGCCCGTCTAGATTGGCTTAAAAAAGTAGCTTTTAAGCACAAGTTCTTAAAAGCACTTTTTAAGTGATGGAGTTGGTTGTATAAATAAGCAGTTACTTGTTTGGATAAAAGTGTTGGAACTGAAAACAAGTTAAAATGTTTGGTAAACAAGTGCTGGTTAGCACATTTTCTATTAAAATGACTGGTTGGATAAATAAGTGATGGAGTTGGTTGTATAAATAAGCAGTTACTTGTTTGGATAAAAGTGTTGGAGCTGAAAACAAGTTGAAATGTTTGGTAAACAAGTGCTGGTTCGCACATTTTCTATTAAAATAACTGAAATATCCTTAAAGTTGTTAACACTATAAAAAAACATATTACTATAATATTTATTCTAAACTAATATGAATACAAAATAATTAATATTATAATTCACTTTCAGTTTAAACTTTAAACTGATCACCTAAGATAATTTTTATAAAAAAGTTGTTGATCTCATTTTTCACCACTTTCAACCACGTAAATTTTTTATTCTTTCTTGAAATTCCAAGCTTGTTGCGGAAACATATGAAATGAATATTACATTTATTTACATAACAAGGGAAATAAATGAATTAACATTTTGGATTAAGCTAAAACTTCAATGCAACCTCCTCAATTTCAAGTTATGAGAGGAGTTAGGCTTAATTATATACCTAAAATAAGACTCAATCTGAATTGTATGATTATTGATATAAAAAGAAAAAGTAGTATGAAATGAAAAGAAAAGGTTGGGTAATACTTTAGGTAATCCCAGCACGATGAGTGGCAGCAGGCAGAAACTAAAAATGTGAAGCAAAACAACAGTTACCATCTGGAGAAGAACGGGAAAGAAAAAGAGTAAAATGAAGAAATACAAGATGGAGGAAGACGCAGGAATGGAGAACAACGGAAAAGAATAGAGTAAAGTTGGGGTTTTGTTGTGAAGGATATTTTTGGAATAATAAAATATTATTAGGGATAAGAGGGTAAAATACTTAGTCAAAGATAGATGGCTTTTAAGCTAAAAAAAATTAAGTTGGGGTTGCCCAACTTCTTGCTTTTAGCTTATTTGGGCTTAAAAGCTATTTTTAAAGTTACCAAACACTAAAACAAGCTAAAGGTGCTTTTAAGCTGGTTTGACCAGCTTTTAAGCCAATCCAAACACCCTCTATATAGGCAAAAGTCTATTTTCCCAAAGACTTGGCCGACAATTACTCTTGGAGCCTGAAGAATGAATTTTGTGGTGGCTGAGTTTTGGAGCATTTTTTTCTCTTTCGTTTGTGCTTGGTGCCCACGTTTTGCTCCTACAAAAGGAGGTGCTGCTCTTTCATTCCAACATAGCAATTCAGAGAGCAAGAAACACTTTAACAATATCAACAATTTGCCTCTCGCTTCCATCCAACTTATTCTCTTTGTGAAATCTAGAGCTCTCTTGTCCTTTTTTGTGTATAATTATGAAAGACGAATAGCATTTAGCAAATGCAAGCAACATTATGCTTGCGTGTTGAGAATCCAACAAAAAATGCCCTGCTTAATGCTAATAGCCTTATTAGCATTTAAAACCACAAGACATGAAAGACTCATTACTCAAAGACGGCGGAGAACTACATTAACAGCATAATTCCATAATCAACTTATCAAGAGCAATTAAGAGAATGATGCACTTCCTCCCCCCCCCCNACCAGTTTATCCACACAAAAAATGCAGAATTCAGATCATGTGCTCACAAGGCAGCTGGCCTTGATAATTTAACTAAACCAATAAAATGGAAAAAAAATTATAACACAACCAAATTCTATTTATAAAATGAACATTATCCTAAACAGATTTTCAGAACAGGAAGGGAAAATTGTATCAGGCATAAAATGGTTTTAAAAAAAAGTAAATAAATAATTGGCCACTTCAGGTATGCATAAATTGAACCGTAAGACTGTCAGCTTAATGCAGAATTCAGATCATGTGCTCACAAGGCAGCTGGCCTTGATAATTTAACTAAACCAATAAAATGGAAAAAAAATTATAACACAACCAAATTCTATTTATAAAATGAACACTATCCTAAACAGATTTTCAGAACAAGAAGGGAAAATTGTATCAGACATAAAATGGTTTTAAAAAAAGTAAATAAATAACTGGCCACTTCAGGTATGCATAAATTGAACCGTAAGACTGTCAGCTTAATGTAAATGTCTAATTCAAGTGCAGAAACAGCTGCAAAACAACAGGGTGGATGATGACATCTTGTTGTTAGAACTAATATTTAGACCAAGGAAAATGGGGAGAAGAAGTCACCTATAGACAAGAAGCCTTCTATTTGAGGGGAAGAGAATTTTGACACATACAAGACATTGTCAGATTGAAATGCTCAACAATGAAATAAAGCCCAGACCCAGGAAATTTCTATGCCAAATGCAGCCTATAGCAAGATCCAGACTCATATCCCACTCATTTCCTTTTCTCTCTTAATAAGTTTGTTCAGAACCACTCCAAAAGGTAGCGAATACACCTCCCCATAAGTATTATCACTTAATTATACAAGTTAGATGTGCAGGAAGAAGGGTAAACAATAACATCAGTCAGCAGAAAGATATTCCATTGAAAAACCAAACAGTCTGATGCAGAAGTCAGCAACTTACTGATGGTGGAGTCTCTTTCAAAGAAGAAAAGTGACACTTTGGAATGATAAGCGAGTGCCTGAAGAAAGGGAGTTAAAGGTAAAACACTAATTCAGCTATGATTACCTGTTAAATAAAGATAAATTCCAAACACTTGATGAAATAATGTGACACTGTGATGATTGAAGTGCTAATACAAGATGAGATAGACCTATAATCACATGAAGGAAGGTTATCTCAAGAGACCAACAACCTTTGGGAATCTATGGGGACTGAAGGAAGAACGTAACACAATGGAAGCAAAGTATCAATATAAGTGATACCAACTTGTTAGTTCTTACTGGTGCACTTACATTAGGTTCTGGTATTTGCCAAGAGTCCTTTTACTTGGTATGTAGTGTAAGAACATGTGCTAAAGTTAGAGTCTCTGTTTAAAAAGAATCACTCATTTGTCTTAAAACACATATTATTGAGTTTTACAATGATAAAGGGCCAAAACAAACAGAATAGATATGTAGGGTTTACATAACATAACCCAATGGATCGACAATATTACTTTATCCAAAAATAATAAACCCCAACTAGCTTGGGATTGAAGCGCATTTGCTCTAGTTGTATTTGGAGTCAATACCAAGCTTGCTTCTCAGGAACATTTTCTCAATACACACAAATCGAAAGCAGTCAGAAGTCGGCAAAATGTTTTTGCCTTAATTGCATAAACTATCCGAAAGTATGTATAAGTCTAACAATAGAACTGAGCATAGGTATAAATAGTGTCATTTCAGACATGGATTGTAAAGTTCTCTATGGAAAATAGTTAAATAGTTAAGACTTATGGCCAATCTTCTCTTCTTCTTTTGTTTTTGGAGTAACTATAGCCAAACATAAATTCCCCAAGTGTCCAAATTCTAAATGCATATGGACAAACAGGAATTCTTTTTAAACTGATATTCTTTTGGTGTTTTCATCTTTTTTGGTCAAATATCTCATGTCAAATCGTCAAAGACTACACTAGATAGATTAAATCAGTTAAGTCAATGCATCTTATATAGAGAATACATATCCAATACCAATAGAACAAGAATACGTACAAGATAACGGTTAAAGAAGATACCTTACCCACAACTCAAAGGATTTGTATCTAAGATGCAGAGGCACACATCATCTTCGTAGACCTGTAGTGAAAGCATTTTATGCATGCCATTAGAAAACTAGCATGCACAGAACAGAAACTTTGTATCTTCCACATTTTGTCATGATAAAAGGTCCCGGTCTCGGAAGAGATGCAGCATCACGAGCTAAGTGGTATACAATTAACTTTCGTACGGGATGTAACTCCTATGCCACATAATGGCTGTAGACCTCCGAAAAAAAGACGTGTTTAGAACTGAACATTGAAGAAATCTCAAGAGAAATAAAAGATTCGATGATCTAATCAAATAATATACTATGGTTCCCCCTTATATCCAACACTTTACTAGTCACAGGGGGGAAAAAGTGGGACCTTTTGAAAAAGAATAAGAACTGATGCAAACTATAATCTTAAAAGAATTACACAAATAGCTTTATCAGAGCAGGTTTGAATTATCAAGTCTATCAGTCTAGCAAAACTACAAAACTGATAACAACTTAAGAAGCAACCTTCCTGAAGCCTGTCGAACCAATTGGATTCTTCCTAACAAATCAACAATAGCCATGATTCTATTACTTTCTTCCCCCGAAGCATGCTAGTCTTTTAATCATAAACATACTAATACTTCATATATCAGTCACAATCTAGCTTTGCTGGATATGATTAATGAGTAGAAACCTAAACACGAACTTCACGACTTTCCTGACATTAATAGTTGTACAAGATCTTAGGTCAAAATTTTGCTACTTGGCTTCTACTGCAAGGACAAGTACATGACTCCTGCTATCCCAATGGAGTGGATAACTCCAACCATGGTGAAATTTTCAATGCGGTTATACGGTTAACATACTTATGTACTAAGCAATACACCAATACCCTCTTCATCCCAAAAAGAAATGCAGCATTTGGAGTACTTTGGTTAATGCATCTAATTTTCAAATATTCTAGCATCTTTACCTTAATCTTTTTTAAAATAAAATTAGCTTATCTAAAAACCACTTGTACATAATAGTGCTATAGTAAAAAGAAAAGGCTTTATAAATTCCCAGTAGTAAATACTGTCGTTAATACAGGAGAGAAGGAGTATGTTTGTATTTATTTACGTTAATCTCTGCTTATGTTAATCTAAATAAGGCAAGCAATCCACGTCAAGATGCTTGAATGAGAAATACTGATGCTACTTCAGGTATTACCAGTTTTAGCAGGCTATTCAAATAAGTAATTAAGGACCAACAATACAGGAGATTGAACAATGATCACCGAATAAAGTCCAACTTACAATTGTCACCTAACTTCTCTTAATAGAGTTGGTAAGGCTAGTTAGTCCTAAGCACATGAACAATCCAAGTACAATTTTGAAAAAGGGAGATATAAAATGTGGAAAACTTTTGATACCTTAACTGCGGGTGATTCGCCTCGAACAATCTTACAGAAAATGCATCCATTTTCTGTGTTCTCTGCATTGGAGCTGGAAGTGCAATTGGTAACCACGAGAGGATTGAAGCAATTTGATTTCCGCGGTGAAGTTGCCGGACGAAGATGGGAAGATAAAAGAGCCAGACGACGTCGTGCTGGCGCACTTTTGTCCATTAAAGTAAAAGCCTTTTTGTTGATTATTTGAAACAGAAAAAGAGAGAAGAATAAGGAGGTGGTCGGAATTGTGTAGCCATTGTTTTAGTGGTTGGAGAAGAGGACAAAACTGTGGCCTATTTGCCACGCAAACTGGTGGTTAGCTCCGTCTTATCCACAGATTTGATTTTTTAGGAGGCTGTATTTAGGGTCCACTCAAACCACAAGTCTAGGCCCAAAGACCAATCTAAAAATCAAACATTTGCATAAATAGGATTATTTGTGCCCCGAATGGTTAACATTTGTCCTCGTTTTTTAGAACTTTGCAGAATATACACTTCTGGCCAAAAAACAATTCTAGTGGTGTGTTGTTTTAGTGACGATACCACAAATGTGCAAACTGCAATCTACCAGTGCAACTTACACGCGTCTACTACAATTGATCTAACAGAGGTTTTGAAGATGTTGTTAGCATAAATCATATTTGCTAAGATTTACAAATCACATTTTAGAAATGAAATCTATAAATTGTACTTTGGCAAATGAGATTTATAAACTGTATTGAGATATGCATAAAAATTCTCTCATTCGAGAAGGGTGTTTTACAAGTCGGATTTCCTATATTCGAAATAACGTGCCAATACAAAACACAAGAATAGTGGAAAGATTATTTACCTGTCCAGTGTATAAACAGAAGTGGCATGATAAATTTTGAATTGAGAAGCAGTATTAGTCTTGGTCCCCAAATTTACCGGTGTGCGTCTTATTCATGTTATTACTTAACAACGTTTGATGAGAAACCTTATTGGTAGTAGCTTCTGGTTGGTTGAACTGACTCGTTCGTAAAACCAATTTACTTGTTATGACTGGAATTTCATTGAACTAGTTAAGCACACGTACTGCAAGGTTGCGTTTATGAACTGCTACTGCTAAAAGTAATCTTAGAGTTTATCCTTAATAGCAGGGGCGGATGAGTTTGCCCGCAAGGTTCTTTAAAAATACAATAAGATCAATGTTAAAAATCTTAAAAGTTGAACTCATAAAATCTAAATATGGTGAAGTGAAACCAAGGTACTTGTTAGTAGCTAAAATTTCGTAAATGGAGTTTTTTAATTTAAACTATTTTCAACTATTTACCATCTAACACAAATAATCATCAAGCGTTTTATTAACCAGAAAACAATTTAGATACTTGTATACGGGTAAAACCGAGGCTAATGAGCACCTTGATTTCTCGGTGGGGCAAACGAAGCAAAGACGTAACTACAAGGAATCAGAATCGAAGCTAGGAGCCTCTCGTATTAAGACCCGAACAAAACACCTGCCCTCGGAGCCATCGAGACCACGCCCCCGGATCCGGTTCGAGTTTCAAGACCTCGGAAAGCATTACCAAACGTCCGCACATGATTAACAAAGGGTTGTGATATCCGTGCCCAACCGGATATCACGACGTGGATCTTGGCCCGTATTGGCAGCAGATCAGTGATTAGCGAAGAGGAAGATTTTTACCTTTCTTAGAATTCTACTTAGGATAAAACTCACCTACTATATAAAGGGGAAGTTTATTATTCAATGAGGACACTGTAACACACACATCAAGGCAATATAAACTTGTTTTCTCTATTTCTAAGCTATTCAAAGGCTCTTATTCTTGTTCATAACTATTCATATATATCTTGGCTACGAATCGAAGGCAGATGAATTGTTAAGCCCATAACCGAGCCCGGATTCAATACTACTGCTGGTTTTTCTATCTTTCATTTGCTTATCTAACATTATTAATTACTTGCATCGGATTAACCCATATATCCTTAAAGCCGCGTATAAATTCAATTGTTATCCATTTTAAGGGTAAACAGTTTGGCGCTCACTGTGGGGTTAAGGATAATAGTGGTAATTTGATACAAATTTCCATAACACACTTTGTTTTACACTTGTTCTTTGAGATTTTAATTTCGGGAAAAATGTCAAACTCTCAGTGTGCTCACTTGAACGTTGATGCTGAATCTGACCATCACGGCGAAAACAACAGTATAGTGCCTAACAACGAGGTGCCCCTGCTGATCCCAACGGAGTCCCAGTTGCAGACCCAGTCGACGCCAACTCACATGTGGCCATCGACGCCAACCTGCTGACCAACCCTGAGAACAGCGTTCATGGCGGAGCCCGTCCAATGACTGGCGATATCCGAGGTTGCGGTAAATGGAGTCCTAGTCCAGGAAGAGGAAGGTACGCAATTTCATGTTTACTATGTTAGTAGAACTCTAGGCAAGGCCGAAACAAGGTATCCTCACTTGGAAATATTAGCGCTCGCTTTGTTAAGCGCCTCCAAAAAGTTAAAACCGTATTTTCAATGCCACCCCGTATGTGTCGTAACCTCTTACCCACTAAGGAACATTATGCACAAACCCGAGCTCTCGGGCCTGTTAGCCAAATGGACCATAGAAATTAGCGGGTATCATATCGAATATCAACCTCGAACCACCATCAAATCACAAATTTTGGTGGACTTCGTAGCCGACTTCACGCCGGCCTTAATACCCGAAGTCGAAAAGGAATTGTTGTTAACCTCGGGGACTTCCTCGGGAATCTGGACCCTCTTTACGGACGGTTCCTCGAACGCAAAGGGGTCCGGACTCGGCATCGTGTTGAAGCCGCCTACGGGTAATGTAGTTAGGCAATCTATTAGAACTGTAAAATTGACCGAGTATGAGGCCGAGTATGAGGCCATGATTGCAGGTCTCAAATTGGCTAAAAGCCTTGGGGCCGAGGTGGTCGAAGCTAAGTGTGATTACCTCCTTGTGGTAAATCAAGTCAATGGGACGTTCGAAGTAAAAGAGGAATGAATGCGAAGGTATTTAGGCAAATTACAGGTAACGCTGCATCAATTCAAGGATTGGACCCTACAACACGTGGCCCGATATTAAAATAGTGAGGCTGATGCTTTGTCTAACTTGGGGTCATTGGTTGATGACGATGAATTCAGCTCGGGAACAGTCGTACAGCTTATGAAATCGGTAGTGGAAGAATTTCATGCCGAAATAAACTCAACAAGTTTAACTTGGGATTGGAGAAACAAATACATAGACTATTTGAAGACTGGGAAGTTGCCCTCGGATCCTAAAGAATCGAGAGCTCTACGCACGAAGGCGGCCAGGTTCAACATGTCCGAAGGGGCTCTATTCAAAAGAACATTTAACGGCCCGCTCGCCATATGCTTGGGGCCGAGAGATATCAAATATGTCTTGAGAGAAGTTCACGAAGGCACCTGCGAAAACCATTCGGGGGCGGAATCTTTGGTTCGGAAGATAATCAGGGTCGTCTATTACTGGATCGACATGGAGAAAAATGCAAAGGACTTTGTACGAAGGAGTGACGACTGTCAAAGACACGCACCGATGATCCATCAACCTGGAGAGCTACTATATTCGTTCTTGTCCCCATGGCCATTCATGAAATGGGGAATGGACATCATCGGTCCCCTACAGTGGGCACCTGGTAAGGCTCAATTCATAATTTTTATGACTGATTATTTTTTTAAATGGTTCTAAGCTCAAGCGTTCGAGAATGTCCGAGAAAAAGAAGTCATTGACTTCATTTGGGACCACATAATATGCCGTTTCGGGATACCGTCCGAGATCGTGTGTGATAATGGAAAGCAATTCATCGGCAGCAAGGTAAACAAGTTTTTTGAAGACCACAAGATTAAAAAGATACTATCCACACCCTATTACCCTAGTGGGAACGGATAAGCAAAATCTACAAACAAGATCATACTCCAAAACTTGAAAAGGATGTTGATCGATGCCAAAGGGAAATGGAAGAAAATTTTTCCTGAAGTCTTCTAGGCATACCATACAACTTCAAAGTCTAGTATCGGGGCCACCCAGTTTTCATTGATCTACGGTGCCGAAGCATTAATACCGATCGAAGTGGAAGAACCGAGCCTCATGTTCCAATATGTGACCGAGGAATCGAATGGTGAGTCCATGAGTACGAGCCGGAACTATTGGATGAAAGACGAGAGGCCGCCCTAGTCCGGTTGGCTGCCCAGAAACAGCGAATAGAAAGATATTACAACCGAAGAGCCAATCTCTGACACTTCAAGATCGAGGACTTGGTGTTAATAAAAGTAATACTGCATACCCGAAACCCGAACAAGGGAAAGTTGAGACCGAATTGGAAAGGACCATATCGAGTCGTCAGAATTACCGGCAAGGGCTCGTACAAACTCGAAGCGGGAAATAGTGCACCGCTACCGAATAACTGGAACGTGACATACTTAAAGCGGTACTACTGCTAAGGTACGATCTCATTTACTTTTTTATAATATTATGAATCGGTCTAACACTGGCAGGCAATAGCCAAAGGAAAATATGACTATTAGGTCTGAAAGCACACATTGCACTCTTTTTCCCTTGAACCGGTTTTGTCCCAAATGGGTTTTGCGGCAAGGTTTTTAATGAAGTAATAGTAAAACGTGCTAACTTAGATTCGAAGATCGGTTTTAAATCGGAGTCGATGGGCGCATCAACAATATTCGAGCCCTCTCAAGATCGACCTCGAATATTGGGGGCCATCACCCTCGAGTTACAGTTCTTAGCAACGAAAGAAGGAAACTTTGTACTTGAACAACTTAGACTCGTTGGTTAGGATTTATTGTAAGGGCCAAACGGTCAAGTGAACCGTGCCCTCGTAGGCCACCTTAGCCATAATACAAGATTTTACATGCTTTTGATCATGTACTTTACACACCGAAATGAAAGAAAGTTTCCACCATGCTATTAGGTATTTTGCATCTTCAAACATAGAGCCTAAGGGCTACCCCTATTCGGGGACTATCGAGCCCAAGGTCTACCCCTAATCGGGGACTGTTGTCCGAAATAAGTTCGGGCTACCAAATCCCGGACGTACAAAACCTATTTGGTAGTTCCTAAACACGAAAGGCTACGGCCACCCCAAAAAATGGCTCGGAGACGTCCGAAGCTCGTAATCAGAACATAAGGCCTTTATAAAAATTCAAAACCTGCTAAAAAGTTACCCACGGCAAAAGTATCGTCTAAAATCACTTAATCATCTTGGGAAAACTGCCGGTCATACTGAGTTTTCAAGGCCTCGAGCAAATAAAGTTGCATCGAAGTCGGGCTCTATTCGAACATATGAAAAACGAACGACTTATTACTACATTTGAAGTTATGCTAAGGTATCAGAAATATTTGCAATAATAGAGA